TTAAATTCTCCTACCCTTTTTGGGTTCTTTAAAAGAAGATTTTTAAAAAAATCTTTTACTTAGTAAAGGGCAAGAACTTTACAAATACTGAATAAAATCCACAAGCAAACCCCAAGGTGCATAAGTACACATGCTGACCAACATTCTTGTAAACTTTCAGGCCTACAAGTCAAATACTTTTTGACCTATGCATGAACAAGTTGAAAATTACAAATTGATACTACTGTAGGTCAAGGGCAATAACTCTATAAAAAAATTGAAAAATAATCCACATACAAAGTCCCAGGTGATGTTGATCATTATTCCTGTAAAGTTGGTTGATTCTAACTCAAGCACTCAAAGAACAAATAACACAACATAATGAAATGGTTTTTACTAAGTCAAGGGCAATAACTCTACAAATTACTGGATAATTCCACAAGTGAAACAAAAGGTGCACAACTTCATATGCTGAGCAAAATTCCCGTAAGGTTAAGGTTTCATGACTCTATGTCAAATCCATTTTGAGTTACATGCGACACAAGTTGAAAATTGCAAAAATTTTACTAAGTCATGGGCAATAACTCTAAAATAATATATAAATTTCACATAAAAATACCCAGGTGCACAACAACACATGCTGATCAACATTCCTTTAAAGTTTCATGACTCAAGGTCCAAATCTTTTTGAGTTACATGCGACACAAATTAAAAATTGCAAATTTTTTCTAAGTCAAGGGCAATAACTCTAATAATACTTCAAATAAATTTTCACACGAAAATACCAAGGTGCACAACTGCACATGCTGATCAAATTCCTGTTCAGTTTCATGACTCTACTTTGAGTTACGTGCAACACAAAAGAGAGCGTACGGACGGACGGATGGACAGACAAGGATAAAAAAAAAAAAAAAAAAAAAAAAAAAATCTAAATGCCTCCCCCCCCCCTAAAGTGGGTGCACAAAAAGTCGAGCTAAAAATAAACAAAGGGCAATAAGTCCAAAATTAGGAAAGGCAGTGTTACAGTTCTTGTGCACTGCACTTCTAATCAATAGGATCTTTATCTATCTACAAAGTTTCTTGTTAATACCCCATATTATTTTAGAGTTACCGGTATGTCATGGGTAATATAAAACAAGAGGGCCATGATGGCCCTGAGGTCGCTCACCTGTATATAGGCCCCCGAAGCGGGGCCAGTTTAAACCCCAGGGCTTTTATTTGAACAAACTTGGAATTAAGACACCCATTAGAAGATGTTTCATGATGTTAAGTTTTTGCTATACACATATAAGGAAAGACAATGACCTTCTCCCCCCCCCCCCATGGCAGAGTTAATTTTAACCCAAGGGCTTTTATTTGAACAAACTTGGTAGACACTCATTAGAAAATGTTTCATGCCAAATATTTTAGCTCTAGCTCTTTGGGTTCTTTAAAAGAAGATTTTTTAAGTTTTTACTATATGCATACAGGGAAAATCTATGACCCCCTGAGGCGGGGCCAATTTTGACCCCAGGGCTTTTATTTGAACAAACTTGATAGACACTCATTAGAAGATGTTTCATGCCAAAATATCTAAGCTCTAGCTCTTGGGTTCTTTAAAAGAAGATAATTTAAAGTTTTTCTTTCGGTTACCATGGCAACCAGAGTTCTGCATGAATTAAATTCTTTGAACAATTTTTAAGGTGACCACCAAAGGAACATTCCTGTGAAGTTGGATAAAATTGGCTTAGTGGTTTATGAGGAGATGTCATTTGAAGCAAAAGTTTTACGGACGGACGCCCGCTGGACGCCGGACGAAAAGCGATCACAAAGCTCACCCTGTCACTTTGTGACAGGTGAGCTAAAAAGGGCAAAAATCTCCAAAATTAGGCGCAAGGCAGATTTACGGTTCTTTTGCCAGTGCCTTCTACTTATTGAGATCTTTCTACATTGATATCTCTTGTACATTCTGAGTTATGTCCGGACAAGAAATCTGACAAAACAGACAGAACGACCACCAGCTGATTCCACTATACCCCCTTAAACATCTTTTTTGGACGCAAACCCCGGGTGAGAAGGACAGCTTTCCATATAGTCAAGCTAAAAATAAATTCAAAACAAAAATTCATCTGAAAACTTACTTGTGATCAATGTTTTACAAAATTCGTCATGATTCAAAGAGTCATCCTGTCTACTTTTATCGATCAATTGGAGATTCCCACTTTCTTCCCATGGCAACTGAATATTAGTACATGACTCTTGACTGTCCTCACTTGCTGGCACATTTTCATTCAAATTTGTAGTAAAATGTGCAGATGACTTGTTGTGAAGGCCCAAGATTTCATTTGTCCTATTAATTGATGCTGAACTTTCATTTTTTTCTGATTCCTGCCCTAAGATTATGTTTCTTGTTGGCGAAAGTTCAAGTGGAAATTCAGCACCACTATTTTTAATGACATCCCTCTCATATGATATGTTATCAACATATACAGCACTTCTATTTTTTGACCTACTTCTACTTCTCAACAATGACCTTCCACATCTTAATGGAGATGAATGCTCAGACTTAACGTGATTGGTTGGAGAGCCATCATGTAATTGCCTAGCATTATGGGAAGCAATTTGTAATAAATCATCATGATTTGTCTCAATACTAATATCAGACACTGAAGTATCATAGATAGATGAACCAATGGATTCATGACCATCTGAAAATTTGGTTTCATTTTTTTCCCTGGAGTCTGAAACATCATAAACACTTATCTCCCTGTCACTGGAATTGTTCAATGTTCTTTCAGCAGTACTTGAGAAATTATCATCTGAAATATCACACCTTGTCTCATCGAAGATAGTTAAATTCCTGTTATTTGACTGTCTACATTTTTCATTTCTCTTGACACGTCTGACTGACACATATTCTGTGATATTATGTCCTTGCTGATCTTCATCAACAAGTGGCACATCATTGCCTGTTGCAGAAATATCGTCAACATTTCCAGAAATTGTATATTCATATACACTGGAAACCATGCTTGAGCAAACACTGTTAGTAAGAGGGGAACCGACAGGTGTGAAAGGCCCTTCCCCAACTTTTGTCAATGCAATTCCAGTGTCATTAATTAAAATATCATTTTCAGAGGTCACATGACCTGTGCCACTATTAATTTCTGAAAAAGCTTCATGTTCGGGTAAACTTGTGACTGAAGATTTATGCTGCTCATTAATGGATTTTGATATTATTGCTATACTTCCTCTGCTTGAGTTTCCTGCCAGTACTGTAATATCACTTTCCACTGAAGACACACTTTCCCTTCCACCCGATTTAAAAACATCAGATTTTTGGTCATCTGACCAAGATGACTTATTTGAGAGTGAAGATATTTCAGTCACAGAATTTCTGTTGACCTTCTCGTTAAGTGATGACACTGTGAATTCTCCATCTAAAGAATACAAAATAATCATAAGATTATAGCAATTTTAAAAGAGTCATCAATATCATGCACATAAGCTGGTTATGTACAAAAGTAATTTATTAATATGATTTTATTTTTCCTTAAACATATATATACACAACATACACCAAGGAAAATTATCATGAAAGTAAAATTTATATATTATTATTTTTCTAACTTAAAATATTAACACAAAATTGGAGATTACTGAAATAATAATAAAACTAGAACTATCACTGAATGGGATTCATACCACCCACCAATGTCCTTGACAGAAGACGACTTGGAAAGGTGGTTAAGGGAATAACTTTAGTGGCACAAATACATATACATAAAAAGAAATTATCTCTGGTGAAAAAAAGACAAATTGTACAGGTATAAGTATAAATACATATTGTCAAATCATGTTCGAAACAGTTACAAATAACATTTCATTTTCCTAATGTACTAAAACAAACAAAAGCAGTGAAGTTAAGAAAATAGCATAATTATGTCAAAATATAATTAAGAGTGGAAAAACTTTGCATACTGAGTTTACTTGTGACCCTTGATATATTATATAGTGTCAAGTGAATATCTGTTCTAGTTTCAGAAACATTTTATTTTAAGTATTAATGGTTATAATAGAACATTTTCTAAGCCTAAAAGGGGCATAACTTGTAACATAATTCAATGGAATTGTAGAATTTTCGTCCTCTGAGCTTGCTTGTAGTAACCATTCATATAAATTTTAAGTTTCAAGTAAATATCTGTTCTGGTTTAAGAAATATTATAGTAAATAAATTTAAAGACATAAAAAGGGACTTAACTTTGTCAAAATACAATACAAAGTTATCCCCCCACTATTTTTAGTTATGAAACTTGACCTGCATATCTTACTTGCGACACTGATATTTGAAGTTTCAAATGATTATCTGTTCTAGTTTTAGAAACATTCAAGTACATGTTAAAATTTCAGAGCATTTTCTAAGTCAATTTTTGACCTTCAAGTGTGGCCTTGACCTTCAACTGTCACAAGGGTAAGATGGGTTCTGCACATAACCTTGTTAAGGTGAACATTTGAGTAAAGTTTGAAGAAAATTTTTCCATTAGTATAGAATTTATAGAGCGGACACATTACATACTGTCTAATATTTGATTGTATGTAAATTTGAAGATTTAAAAAAGGGCATAACTTTGTCCAAATGCAATACAGAGTTATGAAACTTGACCTGCATATCTTAATTGTGACACTTCATATTTGTTTTAAATTTCAAGCAAATACCTTTTCTAGTTTCAGAAATAATCAAATACATGTTAAAATTTAAGAATATTTTCTAAGTCAATATTTGACCTTCAAGTGTGACCAAAGGATAACATGGGTTCTGCACATTACCTTGTTGAGGTGAACATTTGAGCCAAGATTGAAGAAAATCTTTCCATTAGTGTAGGACTTACAGAGCGGACACAACATACTGTCTAATATTTGATTGTTTGATATTAGACCGTCAATTGTGACCTTGACCTTGAGCTGACACATGGGCAACATGGGTTCTGCACATCCCCTTTGTTGAGGTGAACATTTGAGCCAAGCTTGAAGAAAATCCTCCAAATGGTATAGGATTTATAGAGCGGACACGATAATGGAGACAGACAGACAAACTGACGGACGCGAATCCATTAAAGCCGCCCCCCCCCCACATTTTGTGGTGGGCGCATAACAACAGCCACTGCCTTGCGAGGGCCACACTCCACAGTCAAATGCATCAGAGGAAGAATATTAGCACTCATAATAAACATTATATTTTTTTAACAAATAAATTTCATTTTAACATTTGATAGTCAAGGTCAATAAAAAGTCAATGCAACATCTGAATTTATCATCATGTTGGTTTTGTCATAAGTTTCCTTTTGTTTCAAAGAAGATTTTTTAAGTTTTTACTATAGACATATAAGGAAAATCAGACCCCCAGGGTGGGGCCAATTTAACCCTGGGGCTTTTGTTTGAACAAACTTTGGTAGACACTCACTAATAGATGTTTCATGCTTAATATCTAAGCTCTAGCTCTATGGGTTATGTATTTAAAAGAAGATTTTTTAAGTTTTTACTATAGACATATATGGAAAATCAGTACCCCCAATTTTGATCCCAGGGCTTTTATTTGAACAAACTGGGTACACACTCACCAGAAGATCTTTCATGCTTAATATCTAAGCTCTAACTCTTTGGGTTTTTTAAAAGAAGATTTTTTAAGTTTTTACTAAATACATATAAGGAAAATCAATGACTGCCCAGGGTGGGGCTTATTTTCACCCTAGGGCTTTTATTTGCATAATCTTGATAGTCACTCACTAGAAGAAGTTTCATGCCAAATATTTAAGCTCTAGCTCTTTCGGTTTTTTAAAAGAAGATTTTTTAAGTTTTTACTATATACATATAAGGAAAAGCAATGACCCCCTGGGGCAGGGCCAATTTTGACCCCAGGGCTTTTATTGGAACAAACTTGATAGACACTTACTAGAAGATGTTTCATGCCAAATATCTAAGCTCTACCTCTTTTGGTTTTTAAAAAAAAGATATTTAATTAATTTAATTTTTTTCTTTCAGTTGCCATGGCAACAAGAGTTCTGCATGGAATTAAATTCTTTGAATAATTTTGAAGGTGACCACGAAATGACCATTCCTGTGAAGTTTGGATGAAATTGGCTTATTGGTTTATGAGGAGATGTCGTTTAAAGTAAAAGTTTACCTACGACGGATGGATGGACGCCGAAAAAAAAGTGATCACAAAAGCTCACCATGTCACTTTGAGCTAAAAAAAAATGTCGTTTAAAGTAAAGGTTAACAGACGGACGGACGATGGAGGCCCAACGAATTGTGATCTCAAAAGCTCACCTTGTCACTTTGTGACAGCTGAGCTAACTAGAACTCAGCGAGTCGGATGTGTCGCCTTGTGAACAATATAGTTTAGGAGAAATGGCCAGGAAAAAAATGAGATATGAAAATTAACAAAGGGCAATAACTCAAAAAATATAAAGTGCAGAGCAGCAGTTTCTATGCACTGCACTTCTTATCAATAAGATCTATCATCCTATGAAGTTTCAAGTCTATAGCTTTTATAATATATGAGAAATGGCCTGGACAAAAATAAAGTATGAAAATTAATAAATGCAGAGTAACGGTTCTTGTACACTGCACCCTTTCTTAATGAGATCTATCATCCTATGAAGTTTAAAGATCATAGCTTTTATACTTTAGGAGAAATGGCCTGGACAAAAATAAAGTATGAAAATTAACAAAGGGCAATAACTCAAAAAATAAGAAATGCTGAGTACCGGTTCTTGTGCACTGCACTTTTTCTTAATGAGATCTATCATCCTATGAAGTTTCATGTCCATAGCTTTTATACTTTAGGAGAAATGGCCCGGACAAAAATAAAGTATGAAAATTAACCAAGGGCAATAACTAAAATAAGAAATGCAGATTACCAGTTCTTGTGCACTGCCTTTCTGGTCATTATAAGAAGCATGCATACCAAGTTTGAAGTCAATCCGACTTATAAAGACTGACTTATGCTCGGGACGAGCTTAAGGGGATGACGACGCCAACAAAAGTAACCCCTATATGTCGCCTTTTTCAAGGCGACACAAAAATTACATGATTCTTAGAAGTGGCATTTTATAGGCTTTTACAGGCTGTTATAGGCGAAAAATCACCACATTCATCTGCACTGTGATTGGCATATAATAACATCCTATATATAACAATTACTGTACTCAAAGTATGTGCACTTACAGTTTCTTTCAACAAGATCAGATGTCAATAACACTTCCTTTCTATCATCAATGTTTGCATCATCTGAACAAATTTCTTTTCTTTCCCTCCTTATAGTTGACTTCCTCCAAATATTTGCTCTAAAATATACTTAATAATATGAGGTTCTAGTTTGAAAAGAATGCACAGTCATACCTACATATTACACAAAATCTTATATAACAAAGTTTTTGTCATTTCATATCATCTTTGAAATTTTGTCTGTCATCTGTCTGTTTGCAACTGTTAGGTATGTCCCAGAATGAATGAAATCTGTATATTCATGATAAAATTATCACAACAAGCAAATTCGTTGAATTTATATCCCCCGCCGAGTACTGGTTTTTATTAACGCAACAACTGAAAACATGAGGCTTTATTTATATATCAATCATATATCAATCATGGCATAAACAGTAATATTCTTTGAACTTGATAAATATTCAGGGCAATAACAGAGCCATAACTTTGTGTTAAATAGTAATATCTGGAAATGCCAATGAGATGTATGCATACTACATAACTAATCAAGGGCCATAAATCTGAGTTATAAGTATCTGACCGGAACAAGGCGACTATATGCACATCTCCTCTTAGTATCCCATAAAGTTTCATTGAATTCCAGCCAGTAGCACGGAAACGATTATTGCTCTGGTTGTATACTGCCTAAGTTATCAAGGGTCATAACTCTAAGTTAAAATGTCTGACCCAAACAAGGCGACAATATGCGCATCTCCTCTTGGTATTGAAGGTTCCAATAAAGTTTCATTGAATTCCAGCCAGTAGTTGCAGAGAAGTAGCGAGGAAACTAATATTTTTCTATATGGATACTGCATAACTAATCAAGGGCCATAACTCTGAGTTAAAGTGTCTGACCCCAACAAGGCAATGATATGCGCATTTTCTCTTGGTATTGAAGGTTCCCATAAAGTTTCATTGAATTCCAGCCAGTAGTTGCAGAGAAGTAGCGCCGTAAAGATTTTTGCTCTATATGCATACTGCATAACTAATCAATGGCCATAACTCTGCGTTTAAGTGTCTGACCGGAACAAGGCGACGATATGCGTATATCCTCTTGGTATTGAAGGTTCCCATAAAGTTTCGTTGAATTCCAGCTAGTAGTTGCAGAGAACTAGCGTGGAAACGATTTTTACTCCATATGCATACTACATAACTAATCAAGGGCCATAACTCTGAGTCAAAGGGCCTGACCGGAACAAGCTGACGATATGCGCATCTCCTCTTGATATTGATGATTTCCCTAAAGTTTCATTGAATTCCAGCCAATAGTTGCAGAGAACTACTCCGGAAACAAAATTTTACTCTATATGCATACTGCATAACTAATCAAGGGCCATAACTCTGAGTTAAAGGGTCTGACCGGAACAAGCTGACGATATGCGCATCTCTTCTTGATATTGATGATTCCCATAAATTTTCGTTGAATTCCAGCCAGTAGTTGCAGAGAACTACGGACAGACGGATGTTATTGCCCTGAATATTCAATAAGTTCAAAGAATATTACTGTTTATGCCATGATTAATATATAAATAAAGCCTCATGTTTTCAGTTGTTGTGTTAATAAAAACCAGTACTAATTTCTAGATTTACAAGTCATCTTAACAAAAATAGTTCTATAACACAAATTCAAAAAATAATAAATGTCTACCAAGGTGAGAAAATATAAAACAAAACATTATTTATTTAAGATAACCGTTTTTTTTTGTTTTGTTTTTTTCAAATAAGTATCCATATGATAAATCATGTCCTTCACAGATTCAGTCTTTCAGAATGGCTTCACTGTGGCTCACATCTATCCATTTTATTGACTGCACACTGAAAAACTAACCTAACAGTTGCAAACAGACAGACAGACAGGCATACAGGTTACAACAGTATGCCTTAATTTTCGGAATAAGGAAAATTATAATGGACATTAAAGGAGTTCTTCAATCAGATAGAAATGGAAATTTACTACTGTTCAATGGAATAATGGTAAGTCTATATTTAGACTATTTTGTTACAACAGTCTTTTCAAATACCTTGCAAATTAACACTTTTAATTTTAGTTTCTGATTTTTCTTCATAAATTTTACATATGTGCTGATTTAAATCTTTTTAACTGAGTGTTATTGAGTGGGAATTTTTAAATCTGCCCTTTTCTTTACATTATGTACCAGTAAATTACATTCCTTGTCATGATTTTTCATACCATTTACATTTTGAGGATATTTCAGTAAATTATGGGTTTATATTAACAGTACTACTATCAAAATAAGCATTTTGATTTTACTCAATTTATATATTATGTATTAGTAATGAATATTTTTTCTTATTTACAGGAAAACTTACAATGCTACACAGGTGACCATAGAGAGTTTCAAATTATTATAAATGATGAAGGAAAGAAAAATGAGGTTGATTACAGAAATAATTGACGGTTAGTTTTGTTATTCAATAAGGTTAGATAATTGATAAAAATAATGAAATAAATAATTACAATTGATTTGAACAATTTTAACTGTTAGATGAACAACTTTCAATGTAGTATAAATTTCCATTTAAATAAAATGATTGTATAGAATATAATTTTTGTATATTAAAGATTTACTTAAATTACAATATTATTTATCTTAAATGTTTGTACAATACTTAAATGCATGTAATACATTCACTATTTAAAATTTTCATATAGTTAAAATAAAAGTTCTGTTAAAATGATTCATTATCATCTGATTTAGCAGTCAAAACCAGTAGAAATGTGAATAATTTTCAATTGTATTGTTTAAACTAACAATTGCCTTTTTAGATATAGATCTATGTTGTTGAAATAATTTATAGCAATATTTAACAAAATTAAAAACTATTGCAGCAAGAACAATTTTAATTTTTATAAATAATCAAACTGGCAAGATTGTCCAAAAATAATATTTTACTATTGCCAAATTTGTGCTTTCAAATATTGATCTTTTTAATTACATGCCAATAATACCAATCATTATTATGCATATCAAACATAAATAATTTATTATTATACACATTTTTTTTTCAGTGTGCAGTCAATAAAATGGATAGATGTGAGCCACAGTGAAGCCATTCTGAAAGACTGAATCTGTGAAGGACATGATTTATCATATGGATACTTATTTGAAAAAAAAAAACAAAAAAAAAAACGGTTATCTTAAATAAATAATGTTTTGTTTTATATTTTCTCAACTTGGTAGACATTTATTATTTTTTGAATTTGTGTTATAGAATTATTTTTGTTAAGATGACTTGTAAATCTAGAAATTAGTTGAAATGAATAAATTCACAGACATTTGGGGTTTGGAGCTCAAAACGCCTTTAAAATCCAAATAAAATGCATATTTGTCAATCCCAGCACATGTACTGATCATATATATAAAAAAAACTTAATATAAGCCGTTTTGAAAAAAATTCATATTTTAACATCTATAATAATACACAAGATAAAAATGTTCGCCGGAAAAAATCCGCACCCCTACCGTCATAATCACCATGTATTTTATTCCATTTCCAATATTTTCACATAATCCTTTGGTCCATCGACACAGAAGATATAATTCTTCACGATGATGGTCAATTTTAAACTTCAACGGTAATATAAACAACGCAACAGCCGAAATAAACATCAATATTATCGCCGTCTTTTTCCAACGACAAAATCTTTCGATAAATTCAATGGACCAGATGGCTATGAACGAAGCTATCCGATTATGTGGTTCCCAAACTTAAAAGCGATGCGCATTTTGCACACGGCAAAGCTGGGGCCACATAATCGGATGATTTTTTTTCAAAACGGCATATATTAAGATTTTTTGATATATATGATCAGTACATGTCCTGGGATTGACAAATATGCATTTTATTTGGATTTTAAAGGCGTTTTGAGCTCCAAAGTGTCTGTGAATAAATTAATTCTATTATGTAATAGTTTATTAATATTATACCTTATCACATGACGATTAATTGCAATATTGGAGCATTTAAAGAAGTTTCTTACAGACTAGACGCAAGCTTGTCGCAAGCTAGAGGCAAGCTTGCCGCAAACTTGCAACTAGCTTGCCGCAAGCTTGAAACTAGCTTGCCGCAAGCTTGCAACTAGCTTGTCGCAAGCTTGCAACTAGCTTGCCGCAAGCTTGCAACTAGGTTGTCGCAAGCTTATGGTGCCTTTCAAATCTAAAGCATGCATTTTTGAAAACAGGCTGCAAGCTTCCCGCAAGCTTGCGGCAAGCTTGCCGCGAGGTTCCAATTCTAAGCTTTCCGCAAGCTTTATTTGCAAGCTTGCGACAAGCTTGTTGCAAGCTTGTCGCAAGCTTTATAAAAGCTTGCAATTTTGGTTTGGGTATAACTCTACAAATACTGAAGAAGGAGTTATGGTTTTGTACACTGTACTTCCTCTCATTGTGCATACAGACCATTATAATTGTATGAAGTTGTATTGAATTCCAACGACTAGTTTTCAAGTTATGCACTGGACAAAAAAAATAACAAATTACTTTGTAATTACATATAAATGTAGTCCAAATAGAGTTATGGTTCTTGTGCACTGCACTTTATCTCACTGCCCATACCATTGTATGAAGTTTAATTGAATTCCTACCATTAGTTTTCAAGTTATGCACTGGACAATAAAAAGTAACCAAGGGCCATAACTCTTAAATGAGTCAAGAAAGAGTTATGGTTTCTGTGCACTGCCTTTCCTGTTAATAAACTTGACCATGAAATTGTATTGAATTGCAACAACTAGATTTCATGTTATGCTCTGGAACAAGGAAAAGTAACAAAGGGCAATCACTCTATCATTACTCTGGACAGAGTTATGGCTCTTGTGCACTGCACTTCCTCTTATTGTGATTGACCATTGTATGAAGTTGCATTGAATTCAAACCATTCATTTTCAAGTTATGCACTGGACAAGAAGAAGTATCAAAGGGCAATAACTCTGTGAGAAGTCAAGATGGAGTTATGGTTCTTGTGCACTGCACTTCCTCTCGTTGTATTAGTTGTGTTGAATTCCAACTAGTAGTTTTCAAGTTATGCTCTGGACAAGAAAAAAGCAATGGAAAAGTAACAAAGGGCGATAACTCTGGACAGAGTTATGGTTCTTGTGCACTGCACTTCCTCTTAGTGTGCTTAACCATTTAATAAGGTTGTTTTAAATTCCAACCAATGCTTTTCAAGTTATGCTCTGGACAAGGAAAAGTATCAAAGGGCACTAACTCTGTACTTAGTCAAGATAGAGTTATGGTTCTTGTGCACTGCACTTCCTCTCAATGTGCTTGACCATTGTATGAAGTTGTATTGAATTCCAACCATCAGTCTTCAAGTTATACTCCGGACAAGGAAAATGCCACGAACCGCTGGACCAACCGACCAACCAACCACCGGGTGACTCCCATAAACTTCGTTTCGGGGGGTATAATAATGTGTATAATCTCTACACTACCATCTATCTATATTTCAAGTTTCATAAAAATGTTTTACTTTTTTGAGTAATCCCAAATATTGTTATATTTGACATATTTTAAGCCTATTTGTTGCCATAGCAACCAAATTTTTCAACATAGGAAGAAAAGAAAAAGATGTGCATAATATCCAGACTGCCATCTACCCATATTTCATGTTTCATGAAAATATTTTCAGTACTTTTTGCGATATCACAGGATCTAGTTTTGTGGACGAATTGACGGACGAACAGACAGACAGATGGACGGAGGGTAAACCAGTAGGTGACTAATAATCAAGATTCTGCACAGCAACGGCAATGGCAACAACAACCTGACTGCAGCAATAGCTCAATTCTTTTTTTTTTATACGTCGAGCGCATAATGTCATATTGCCTTTATCACTGTTCCCAGTATCAAGCATTTGATGACCCTGTTGCTAACTGCTGTCAGATAGACGAAGAGCAAACACTTTTTTAGTTTTTCTAATTTAAAGTTATGCTCCCATGAATCACTTATAGTCTGTCCCACCAAATTTGAATATTCCATTTTTTATTAAATATAATAGTAAAATCATTTAAATTAATGTCATGTTAACCCTGACGTCAATATATCTAGGCATGTTTTTCATTTTTTCCATAAAGCCAGTAATATGGTCAAAATGTTAATATTATATTTTTCCTCGTTGACTTATGTTGTAACCTGACGTGACGTCCATTTCAAAATGGTGGTGCCCAAACAGACGTCATTTAGGGTTTGTCTCACAATTACCGTGAAATGTACTCGGTAATCATAAAAAAATGATTACTGATCAAAAGCTAAATGTTACCATTAAAAAGGAAGTGGCAAAAAGGCAATTTTACTAGCAAACCATTATTTAAAATAATCAAAATCATTTGAAGTGAAATATCAGTAAGGTTCCGCTTTATAAATTCTAACACACAAAGATTTATATAATTATATAATTTTTAATACCATGATATACTGTCGTATTGTATAATCTTTTTAAGATAAAAAGAGCAATGAAGTGGTTTTTTTTGTTTTTTTTTCTGATCTTCTACTAACGAACATCAGGTTTCTTTATTTCTCTCAATATATATAGCAACGGCACAAACCTGATAGAAAACAATTGGCGTGATGTCACAATATAATCGATGTCGCAGTAAAATAAAACAAAAGTGTGTTTCTTTTGACGCACTTAAATACTTATAACTTGAGTTTAAATATGAAAAACTCTTTGGTTGCTGAGTTATTATAGGAAATTGTATCTCAAAACAGTGTTTTTTCTTTGTGTGGATGTATTTTTTATTGGATTTAGATATCTTCAGACAGTTTAGAGACATTCCCTAACCTGGATTACTGTAAATGTGAAATTTAGTTGAATAAGTGTTATATAATCTGATAATCATAACATACATATACATGTATACATAAGTTGGATTATAACTAAAACAAGAACGTGTTTGTTGAACACAAATGCCCCCCGGCTCAGATTCTTGTCAGTAACAATATTTAAAATAAAGGCTGTATGGGCAAAAGTGTAAAAAATCTATTTTTAGCACTGGTGACCTTGACCCAACAGACCCCTAACTCCATCCAAAGGAAGAATATCATGCAACTTATTTTCCTACCAAATATGAAATAAATCTGTCAATATATAAAGGCTGTATGGGCAAAAGTGTAAAAATCTATTTTTAGCACTGTTGACCTTGACCCAACTGACCCCTAACTCCATCTAAAGGAAGAATACCATGTAAGTTATCTTCCTACCAATTATAATACAAATCTGTCAATAAATAAAGGCTGTATGAGCAAAAGTGTAAAAATCTATTTTTAGCACTGGTGACCTTGACCCAACTGACCCTACCTCCATCCAAATAAGAATACCTCAATTTTATGTTCCTACAAAATATACAAGACATCTGTCGATAGAATAAGGTTAATACACCTGTAAGTGTAAAAAATCTATTTTTGACATTGGTCACCTTGACCCAAATGAACCCTTACTAAAGGAAAAGGAAGAGGACCTCCCTTGGTATGACTATTATAAACATGAAAGACATTAACTTAAAAATAAAGGCTGTATGAGCAGAAATGTTTAAATTTATTTTTTTACACAAGTGACCTTGACCTAGAGACGCCTAACGCCACAAAAAATTAGAGGATCGTTAAAGGTATCCACCTACCACATATGAAAGATATCATTAAATAAATTAAGTAATTAGGTGAAATTTTTTGATAAATCCAACTTGGCGAATAGGTTAACCATACTAGGCCCTATTTAAGGGAAATTACTGGGAAAATGGATTGCACATTTATATAACTTGGCAATATCATGTACATTGTATTGATAAGTAAGTGTGAAAATTATTAATTATTAGTTCAGATAGAACATAAGATATTTCCAACTTGCCGGTTCAGGTTAACCATTATTCATTTTCTAAGTGCTGAAAAGGGCCGTAACTTGGTGCAAATGGAAGCCATAGTTATGTAACTTGCCCAGATCATATACTTTGTATGGATTAGTAAGTGTGTAAATTATGAAGCCATTGGTACAGGTAGAACTTAAGAAAAATCCAACTTGCCGTTCTAGGTTAACCTCGTACGGACAGACGGACAGACGTTCTCACAGGACAGTAATTATGTGGCTACTCTATTGTTCTCTCTATTGTTCTTTTTAGCCACACAAAAGAAAATAGCCACATAAAAGCATTACAGAATGAATGACATCAAAGAGAAAGAACAGTTACCTATTGTCCCTCTAGCCACATAATTACACTCCTGTGAGTGCGGAAGGACAGACGGACGGACGGTTCAATTACTATATGCCCGGGGGCATAAAAAGGACAATGGTTAGGAGTAGATCTAACAGTAAGTAAAAAGGACCAGCCAAAACTTTCATTCAGTGGTGGACAGAAAGAACAAAAGATGACTTCTTCTCAGCCTATACAATTGGACACAAGTAATTACAGTAACACTAGTATGGCAAGTGTGGATGATCCAGGACTTAGTCACATTCAGACACAGCTTGAGGGGTTGAATGTAAATATGAACAATCTCAGGAGAGATTTCAAAGCTATGTTAAAAAAAGAAGAAATTGAAGTTTTAATCAAAAGTACCTTAACTGATATTATGTCAACTTTGGAAGAAAAACTCAAGGTCTACATACAAAATGAATTGACTCTTAAAACGAAACATCTTAATGACAAAATTGATAGCCTTGAATTTGAAAAGAAGGAACTTAAGGAAAAGCTGGTGAGTGTTGAGACAATAATACCCTTCTGAAAATCAAGAGCCTGGAAGAGACTGTAATGAAAATTCATGATATCAGTAGAGATGCCAACAAGAGAGCAAACTTCAATAAACAATACTCTAGAAAGAATAATGTCAAGGTCATGGAGATCCCTGAGATCAGAGGAGAAACTGAGCAACAACTAACCAATTCAATGAGAGATACATTCAAAATGCAGGGAGTCTCACTTGAGGAAAAGGACATTATTGCCATTCACAGACTGCCCTCCAAAAAAAATTCAATCAGGCCAGTTATCCTTAAACTCAAAAATAACATTAAAGCAACATTAATGAGAAAACGCTAGGAGATGAGAAATGCAGGCCATAAACTTGTTGATGATGTGACAATTTTGAATCAAGGACTTACAATATTTTAAAGGTTACATTTACGGACTCACTCATCAAGAAGAAAGAATCAGGTTTGACATTTACGATAACATTGACACTATAATCCGTGACTTCCGTGAGAGGCGCAAATCCAAACAGTAATTGTGACCAACTTGATGAAAGCGTTGCATTATTTTTCGGAAATCCTAAAGAATAGAGTCTACTAAAATAATATTGAAACCAGGTGCTGTTTATTACTGATGCTAAGTTAGCATATATGTTTATACAGTATAACTTGTGGCGTATTTTTGAAACAGATATCCTGACACTGCGGCAAAAGTATGTTACAGTATTGATGGGTCCCATTAAATTTCGTTGAATTCCAGCCAGTAGTTGTAGAGAAATAGCGCGGAAACAATAACATGTATTACTCTATATGCATAATGCATAACTATGAGCCATAACTCTGCCTTGAAGGGTATGACCGGAACAAGGTGATGATATGTGCATCTCCTTTTGGTATTAATTGTTTCCACAAAGTTTAAGGTGATGATATGCGCATGTCCTATTAGTATTTATTGTTTCCACAAAGTTTTCTTATTTATAATCCATTCAGCAGCTGCAGAGAAATAGAACGGAAACAATTATTGCTCTGTATGCAAACTGCATTACTAATCAAGGGCCATAAACTGTGTTAAAGAGTCTGAAAGGAATAAGCCAACCTTATGCCCATCTCCTCTTGGTATTGATGGTTCTCATAAAGCCTCATGGAAATCCAGCTAATAGTTGCAAAGAAGTAGAGAGGAAATGATAACTGTCTATAATACAAACTGCATCATAACTAATCAAGGTACATAAGTAGTGCTGAAAGGTTTGACCCAAAGAACGCGAAGATATGCACATCTCCTCTTGGTTAATATTGATGGTTCCCATAAAGTTTCATGGAAATCCAGACAGTATTTGCAGAGGTTCTATATACATAATGCATAAAAAGGGCCATAACTCTTTGACGAAAGGTCTGACCGGGACAAGGCGATGATATGTGCATCTTCTCTTGGTACTGATGGTTCCCAGAAAGTTTTGTTGCATACCAGCCAGTTGTAGTAGAGAAATAGCGCAGAAACGAAATTCAGACTATATGCATGCAGCATTAATAATCAAGGGCCATAACTTTGTGTTCAAGGTTCTGACTGGAACAAGGCTATGATAAACACATCTCACCATACTGATGGTTCCCAGAAAGTTTCATTGAATTCCAGCCAGTTGTTGCAGAGAAAAAACGAAGAAACGAAATTCGGACTATATGCATACTGCATAACTACTAATCATGGGCCATAACTCTGTGTTAAAGGGTCTGACCTAAACAAGGCAATGATATGCACATCTCCTCTTGGTATTGATGGTTCCCATAAAATTTCCTTGAATTCCAGCCAGTAGTTGCAGAGAGATAGTGCGGGAAAGAAATGTGGATGGACAGACAGACATAATATACGTACTTCCGTACAAACCCAGAGGTACTTGTGTCTTTGTGAACAATGGGTAATGGTACATTCTCTTTGGTCCAATTAATTCCGTTATAACTTGTGTGTCTTTTCTAGGCTTGTGTGACTTAAATGGCTAAAAAGATCATAGGAAAAGTCACATAAGTACCATTTTGTAAGTTTGTCCGGACGGACAACTCAAAACAATATACCCCTCCAGATTTGAACAGCGGCAATAATAAAATTCTAATCCCGTGTCAAATAATGGTGAAGTCAATGTTGCATTTTTCATTCAGGGACATATAAAGGTACATATATTTCGATGAGGCAGACTTTAATAAAAATTTTGATAGAGGTCAACAAGAAAATGTTTAATATCAAACATAACTAGAACTATCGCTGAATGCGATTCATACCCCCACCAATGTCCTTGACAGAAGACGTCTTGGAAAGGTGGTTAAGGGAATAACTTAAGTTGCACAAATACATAAAAAGAAATTATCTCTGGTGAAAAAAAGACTAATTGTACAGGTAATAGTATAAATATATATTATCAAATCATGTTCGAAACAGCTACAAATAACCTTTTATTTTCCCAATGTACTTAACATTTTATAAGTCAATTTTTGACCTTCAAGTGTGGCCTTGACCTTAAGCTGGCACAAGGGTAAAATGGGTTCTGCACATTGCCCAGATGGGGTGAACATTTGAGTAAAGTTTGAAGAAAATCCTTCCATTAGTATAGAATTTATAAAGCGGACACAACATATTGTCTAGTATTGATTGTATGTAAATTTAAAGACTTAAAAAGGGGCATAACTTTGTCAAAATGCAATACAGAGTTATGAAACTTACCTTTAATCTTATTTGTGACACCTCATTTATCTTTTAAGTTTCAAGCAAATACCTGTGCTAGTTTCAGAAATAATCAAGTACATGTTAAAATTTAAGAATATTTTCTAAGTCAATTTTTGACCTTCAAGTGTGACCTTGACCTTTAGCCGGCACAAAGGTGACATGGATTCTGCACATAACCTTGTTGAGGTGAACATTTGATTAAAGTTTGAAGAAAATTCTTCCATTAGTATAGGATTTATAGAGCGGACACGACATATTGTCTTATATTTGATTGTATTAAATTTGAAGACTTAAAAAGGGGCATAACTTTGTTAAAATGCAATACAGAGTTATGAAACTTGACCATCATACTTAATTGTGACACTTCATATATATTTTAAGTTTCAAGTAAGTACCTTTTCTAGATTCAGAAATATTCAAATAGATGTTAAAATTTAAGAATATTTTCTAAGTCAATTTTTTTACCTTCAAGTGTGACCTTGACCTTAAGCCGGCAAAAGAGTGACATGGGTTCTGCACATTACCTTGTTGAAGTGAACATTTGAGCCAAGATTGAAGAAAATCTTTCAATTAGTGTAGGACTTACAGAGCAGACACGACATACTGTGTAATATTTGATTGTTTGATATTTGACCTTCAATTGTGACCTTGGCCTTGAGCTGACACATGGACAACATGGGTTCTGCACATCCCCTTGTTGAGGTGAACATTTGAGCCTAGTTTGAAGAAAATCCTTCAATTAGTGTAGGACTTACAGAGCGGACACAACATATTGTGTAATATTTGATTGTTTGATATTTGACCTTCAAATGTGACTTTGACCTTGAGCTGACACATGGGCAACATGGGTTCTGCACATCCCCTTGTTGAGGTGAACATTTGAGCCAAGTTTGAAGAAAATCTTTCAATCAGTGTAAAACTTACAGAGCGGACACAACATACTGTCTAATATTTGATTGTTTGATATTCGACCTTCAATTGTGACCTTGATCTTAAGCTGACACATGGGCAACATGGGTTCTGCACATCCCCTTGTTGATGTGAACATTTGAGCCAAGTTTGAAGAAAATCTTTCAATTAGTGTAGGACTTACAGAGCGGACACGACATGCTGTCTAATATTTGATTGTGTTTAATATTTGACCTTCAATTGTGACCTTGACCTTGAGCTGACACATGGGCAACATGGGTTCTGCACATCCCCTTGTTGAGGTGAACATTTGAGCCAAGTTTGAAGAAAATCCTTCAATTGGTATAGGAGTTAAAGATCGGACACGGTAGTGTTCCATTAGAAAATATTTCATGTCCAAAATTTAAGCTATATCCTTTCAGTCAGAAATGAGGATTTTCATAGTTCTGACCGGAACAAGGCAATGATATGTGCATCTCCCCTTGGTATTAATTGTTCCAATAAAGTTTCATTGAAATCCAGCCAGTAGTTGCAGAGAAGTGGCGCGGAAACTATCATTGCTCTATATGCATACTGCATAACTAATCAAGGGCCATAACTCTGTGTTAAAGAGTCTGAGCGGCACAAGGCAACATGCACATCCCCTCTTGGTATTGATGGTTCCCATAAAGTTTTGTTGAATTCCAGCCAGTAGTTGCAGAGAAAAAGTGCGGAAACAATTATTGCTCAATATGCATACTAATTAACTAATCAGGGGGCATAATTTGTCTTGATGGGTCTGACCAGAACAAGGCGATGATATGCGCATCTCCTCTTATTATTGATTGTTACCATTAAATTTCATTGAATTCCAGCCAGTACTTTCAAAGTAATGGCACAGAAACGATAATTGCTCTATATGCATACTGTGTAACAAATCAAGGGCCATTAAGTTAAAGGGTCTGACCGAAACAAGGGGACAATATGCCCATCTCCTCTTAGTATTGATTGTTTCCATAAAGTTTAGTTAAACTCCAGCCAGTTCTTGCAGAGAAAAAGCACGGAAACGATTATTGCTCTATATGCATACTGCATAACTAATCAAATATCATAAGTCTGAGTTAAAAAGTCTGACCAGATGAAGGCAGTGATATGCGCATCTCCTCTTGGTATTAAAGGTCCCCATAAAATTTCATTGAATTCCAGCCATTAGTTGCAGAGAAGAAGCACGGAAACGATTATATATCTCTATATGCATACTGCATAACTAATCAAGGGCCATAACTCTGAGTTAAAGTGTCTGACCAGAACAAGGGGACGATATGCGCATCTTCTTTTGGTATTGACAGTTCCCATAAAAATTTGTTGAATTCCAGGAAGTAGTTGCAGAGAAGAAGAGTGGAAACGATTATTGCTCTATATGCATACTGCATAACTAATCAAGGGCCATAACTCTGAGTTAAAGTGTCTGACCGGAACAAGGCGAAGATATGCGCATCTCCTGTTGTTATTGAAGGTTCCCATAAAGTTTTGTTGAATTCCAATCAGTAATTGCAGAGAAGAAGCGCAGAAACAATTATTGCTTTATTTGCATACTGCATAACTAATCAAGGGCCATAACTCTGAGTAACAGTGTCTGACAGAAACAAGCCGATCATATGCGCACCTCCACTTGATATTAATGATTCCCATAAAGTTTTGTTGAATTCCAGCCAGAAGTTGCAGAGAAGTAGCATGGAAACGATTATTGTTCTATATGCATACTGAATAACTAATCAAGGGCCATAACTCTGAGTTAAAGTGTCTGACAAGATTAATAAAGTTTCCTTGAATTCCAGCCAGTAGTTGCAGAGAAGTAGCGTGGAAATAATTATTGCTCTATAATGCATACTGCATAACTAATCAAAGGCCATAACTCTGAGTTAAAGGGTCTGACTGGAATAAGCCGATGATATGCGCATCTCCGCTTGATTTCAATGATTCCCATAAAGTTTTCAGTAATTAAAGAGAACTAGCACGGAAACGAAATTCGGACGGAAGGACAGACGGACAACGTCAAAACAATATCCCTCTCCCGATTCCATCAACACACACTGCACGATGGACACAGGGCAATAGTAAGCTCAACTTAAGCTCTGGCAACATCTTGGTAATCATATTACGGCATATTACATTTTGTACCATAGTTACACATTTTAAGGTCTAGTAATTTCAGAAAATATTTTTTCAAAAGTGTTTTTGCTTTATGTTCAATAAACATACAAGGAAAAGTGTTGACATCCTTAAGTAGAGCGAATATCTATCAAAAGCCTATAATTTGAACAACCTTGGCAAAGGTCCACTAGACAATGATTTGTGCCAAATATCTAAGCTCTAGCCTTTGCTATTTCAGAGAAGAAGATTTATACTATATATCATACATAATATCAAAGGAAAACCAGATCCAAATATTCAAAAATCCAGAACAATTTTTGTAAAGCTTTATGCTGAAAACATCACAAACAAGTTTTATCAAATTCAACTCAATGATTTCAAAAGTTGACAATGGATGCACATACGGACAAATGACAAATAAGTAATTATGGGTTAGACTGTACAAAGTTATACTCAGTTTTAAAGATTCAGGACACATCTTCCAGTATATGCATTTGAAAGACCCCGACAACAAAAGCAAACTGAATTTACCTTATTCATGTCATACTTCAAAACTTCAGTGTTTTATAACTCACACATCACATTAAAATATACTTACTTATTTCTACTATCATGTGGAGGTCTTGCTTTAACAATATTCTCCTTGTTTACTTTATCTGAAGATATCTTTCTTACAGGAAAACTCTCCTTTTCTGATTTGATAACCATTTTACTCTGACACTTTGGACACTTCATTAAATCTGCTTCATCTTGTGATTCTGCCTCATACTCATGCTGACACTTCAAACACTGAAACATATTTAATTTACTTATATCTTTTATCAGTAGTAATAAAATCTACTTACTAAATAAGAAATACAGTATGTTTAATTGGCCTGCGCAAAAAATATATAGATGCTCAGAGTGGTAAAGCAGTTTTGACAATGCCTTTTTAATTCTAACGTGTATCACAGGGGAGGAACTATTACACGAAGGATGGAGTTCTTATGATAGCTTGTCAAGAGTTCTTGTGATAACTGTTACTGAGTTTGTCAGAAAACATTTTTATATACTACAAAACCACTCGTCAACAAGAGCACCGCCTAGCGTGGCAATATACGTCCTAATGCAATCATGCGTTAAGTAAATAAAATTTGATAAGACCCCTACCAGTTAGAACCCCATCAACATTCTGAAGGGCCATTGGCCATTCAATTATGCCACTGAATGAATGAATGAACTTAAATCTTTTGAGTTCTTAGTTTGTCTGTATCATAGTAATGTGTTAAGTTTCCCTGCCTAGTAAGGAAATTATGTTTATACAAAACAAATAATCAACATATCCAATTTTCTCAGGATGAATATGAATAACTCATGTCTCAACTTTTCTCTATTTTCAGTAAATTTGTTGGAAAAGTTCTAAGTTATTTAAAAGTGATCTCAGGAAACAGTTTTTAGGAATGGACAGACAGACGGACTGAAAGACACTCTACAGGTAAATCTTCAAACATTCCTGATTTTTACCAAAATTTAACATTTTTAAGAGGAAAATTCTTAGAGGAGATAACTCAAAAATCAAAATGAGAATAGGTGTTGATAATGAAGTACAGTCAAAACTGTCTTAAGCAGCCAGCCAAGGGATGCAGCCATTTTGGCTGCTTAAGACAGGTGGCTGCTGAATGGAGGATCCAGTTTTTATCCAAATAAATTATTCATTTCTTTGGAAAATAAATCCGATTTAAGTATAAATAAACCAGTCTGATTCATCATCATCATCAGTTTTTAACCATTTACAAACGTATGCTATTAATGGTTTAACATGTACACACTCCTTCCAACATAAAGCTTTACATGAATGTAATACAGATAAACAAATGCACTCATGATTTATTATGTCAATAATTGAAACTAATTATCCCATAAAAATATCTTCTTGCACAATAATTTAAAATGCGTAATATTTTCTTCACAAAAAAAAGTATGACAGTTTCTTTTTCTAACTTTTGATCAAAAGAATATTGTGTACACGTCATCTAAGTGTCGGCACTTCCTTTGATGTTTCGGATTGAAACAGCAGGGCTACAGGTTTGTAAACATCAAAGATTCTTTTGAAGAGCCCACTAGTTACCTCATAGATTTAACAATGACCTCATTATATTTACGCAATTTTATTATCACACATGGAGCAAGTGTTTTTATGAATTTATTACTGAGGAATTTAGACAATCGGCGATGTAATTCATTTTCATTTCTTTGGTAAGTACCATGTACGCACAAAATTTATCTGAATCGGGATAAACTGTTTAAAAGGAAACAAATCAAAATATTTCTTTCTGCCATCGACAATGCATTTTTTTCTTCTTTCTTTTTTTCTTAAAATCCGTAAATTGAAAAATAAACAAGAACGTGTTTGTTAAACACAAATGCCCCCGGCTCAGATTCTTGTCAGTAGCAATATCTAAAAAAATGTTTACCCATTCACTCAGTTATGGACAGAAAAATTGCCAAAAAATTGTAAACACACGTTATATAGCTTGACAAAGTCATGACATTTTGTAATTGTGAAAAATATAAGTTGCCAAGTCATTGCTCTGACTTGTGAAGTTGAAAAATATTCAACTTCATGCAAGTTATCTTCCTACCAAATATGAAATACATCATTCTGTCATTAAATAAAGGCTGTATGGGCAAAAGTGTAAAAATCTATTTTGAGCACTGGTGACCTTGACCAAACTGACCCCTAACTCTAGCCAAAAGAAGAATACCATGTAAGTTATCTTCCTACCAAATATGAAATACATCTGTTAATAAATAAAAGCTGTATGGGCAAAAGTGTAAAAATCTGTTTTTAGCACAAGTGACCTTGACCCACTGATCCCTACCCCAATCAAAAGGATGAATACCATGCAAGTTATCTTCCTACCAAATATAAAATAAATCTGTCAATTAATAAAGGCTGTATGAGCAAATGTGTAAAAATCTATTTTTAGCACTGGTGACCTTGACCCAACTGACCACTAACTCCATCAAAGTTTATGTTTCTATCAATTATAAATAACATCTGTCTATAGAATAAGGTCAATACACCTGTAAAAATGTAAAAATCTATTTTTAACATTGGTGACCTTGACATTCGTAACATTGACCTTGACCCAAAGGACCCCTTACTACACCCAAAGAAGGAGGACCTCCCTCGGCATGTTTGTATTAAACTAAGACAGCAACTAAAAAACAAAGGCTGTATGAGCAAAAATGTTTATATTTATTTTTTTAACCAGTGACCTTGACCTTGACCTTAGAGACCGCTTACTCCACATTAAATTAGAGGACCATCAAAAGTATCTACCTACTAAATATGAAAGATATCATTAAAGAAATTAAGCAATAAGGAGAAATTTAAGATAAATCCAACTTGCCGAAATAGGTTAACCAGACAGGCCCTATTTTCAAAGTGAAAAAAGGGAAATAACTGGGAAATATGGATGACACAGTTATATAACTTGGCAATATCATGTACTTTGTATTGATAAGTAAGTGTGGAAATTATAAAGACATATGTATAGATAGAACTTAAGATATTTCCAACTTTTCGTTTTAGGTTAACCATTATTCATTTTCTAAGTGCTGAAAAGGGCAATAACTTGGTAAATATGAAAGCAAGAGTTATGTAACTTGCCCAGATCATGTACTTTGTATTGATTAGTAAGTGTGTAAACTTAGAAGCCATTGGTACAGGTAGAACTTAAGAAAAATCCAACTTGCCGTTCTAGGTTAACCTCTTACAGACAGACGGACGGACACTTCAATTACTATATGCCCGGGGGCATAAAAAACTAGCGTACAGTAAGTCAAAAGAACGAATTGCAAGTTCGTTGAGACGTTCCAAACGTTTGTAATTACGACACGGATGAGCAATTATGCAAACTTCTTGAAATGTTGTGGTTTGTGTTAATATCTAGCACCTGACAAGTAGCTTTTGTTAATCCGTGACACGTGTCATCTTTGAAAATAAATGACAGAAGATTGTCTGGCCGTTTCACCTGGCTGACCGCTTAAGATGACCGAGTTTAAGACTCGGGAAGCATTTTAGGTGACTGTTGACCGCGGACAGCAAGTGACCGTTGAACAGATGTATAAAATAGAGTGGTTTTCGTGGGGAGCGTCACAAAATGGCCATTAAGGTCAGGTGACCGCCAATAAGAGGTGACCGTTAGTACAGTTTCGACTGTAGCTATAATTTGAATTTTTAGAAATTCATGAAGAAATTAGAAAGTTTAAGAATGAATAAACTAGAAATGTGTCATTATGCCATGGATTTGTTGTTGAATATGTACAACTGTTCAGGAGGTAATGAATGTGAACTGAAAATTTCCTTTTTTTCAAAGTTAAAGGGGCCAAAAATCATCAAATCATGACCAACTTCGAACTTGACCTGTGCATTCCTTTGACATATCCATCTGTAAAATTTGAGCTGAATATGTAACACTGTTGGGGAGATAATGAACAGAAACTGAAAATTTCATATTATTTTCAAAGTGAAAAGGGCATTACTCTGCCAAAAATCATTGAACTATGACCCAATTCAAACTTGGCCTGCGCATTCTTTTAACTTATCCATATGTAAAATTTGAATGTGTAATACTGTTGGGGAGATAATGAACTAGATGTATGTAGTGAAAATCAATGACCCCCGGTTGGGGCCAATTTTGATCCCAGGGCTATAATTTGAACAATCTTGATAGAGGTCTACCAGACAATGTCTTATGCAAAATATCTATGCTCTAGGCCTTGTAGGTCTTAATACAAAGATTTTTTATATTAATTCTTATAATTCCTTTTGGTTGCCATGGCAACCAGATTTTTTCATGGAATGAAATTCTTTGAACAACTTTGGAAGCCCCTCACCCAAGGATCAATCCTGCTAAGTTTGGTTAAAATTGGACAAGTGCTTTTTCACAAGAAGATTTTTAAGTTCACTATATAATCTTTATAACACACACACACACGCACACACAAACACACAGGTGAATCTTGATATGCTACCGCATTGCAGATGCTGCGGTGGCATAATAAGGAATCCCTTGGGCGTGGGGCAATACTGATCTCTGGAAATTCACACAAAATAACAATGTGCCCTTGACCTGAGGATGGTCAAACCTGCGCCTTTCACATCGTCTCATTATGGGTAACATTCCAGCCAAGTAGTTACAATTTCCGTTCACCAATTTCCTTTCCCATGTTCAACAGATACTAACCGGACATGAAATTGCTGACAGACAGACAGGCAACCAGGTGCATAACAATACATGCAAAAAAGTTTTCTGGCATATAAAAATAACTTATAATTTCAATTACCTGCATATTATCTTTTTCCACTTTGACTGACTTTATATATACAGACGTCACTGACTCAAATCTCTGAAAACCAAAAGATTGCTATTTTGTACAGCAAATAGAACATGCTCAATAATAACGATAACGATAATGATACTAGAACATTCTAAAAATTAAAAAAATTCATGTTGAATGTAGAAACGACTGTACACATATTCAACAAGAAATGTCGAACAACACATATGCCCCCTTTTCTAGCCCTAGACTCACATTAATGGTAATTTTTTTTTAAAGAAACTTGTCATAAATAGGTACATGGAAGTGTTCAATTATTGAAAAAAGAAAAATAATGACGACTTTGTGATAAATAGTTTTCAAGATAATGAGACATTTAAGGCCCCTGTGACCTAGACCTTTGAACTAGTGACCCAAAATCAATAGTGGTCATCTAATAGTTATGACCAATCAATATTAGAAATATGGAGACTTTCAAGATAATGAGCAGAACCATTCAGACATTTAAGAACCATGTGACCTTGACCTTTGACCTAGTGACCCCAAAATCAATAGGGGTCACTTTCTAGTAATGACCAATCAGTATGTGAAATATGAAGACTTTGTGATAAATAGTTTTTTAGATAATAAGCAGAAACCATTTTGACATTTAAGGCACCTGTGACCTTTACCTTTGATCTAGTGACCCCAAAAGCAATACAGATCATCTGTTGGTTATGACCAATCACTATGTAAATTATGAAGACTTTGTGATAATTATCTTTCAAGATGAGCTGAAATAATAATACCATTTAAAGACCCAGTGACCTTGACCTTTGACATGGTGACCCAAAATCAATAGGGGTCATCTACTAGTTATGACCAATCAATATTTGAAATATGAAGTTTTTGTGAAAATAGTAACCAAGATAATAAGCTGAAATCATATTAAATTTCAAGGCCCCTGTGACCTTGACCTTTGACCTAGTGACCCCAAAATCATTACGGGTCATCTACTGGTAATCACCAATCAATATGTGAAATATGTAGACTTTATGATGAATACTTTTCAAGATAATCAGCGGGAAACCATTCAGACATTTAAGGCCTAATTTACTGTGTCCTTGACCTTTGACCTAGTGACCCCAAAATCAATAGGGGTCATCTAAGGCCTAATTTACTGTGTCCTTGACCTTTGACCTTGTGACCCCAAAATCAATAGGGGTCATCTACTAGTTATGATCAATCAATATGTAAAATATGGAGACTTTGTGATAAATAGTAACCAGATAATAAGAGGAAATCTTATTACCATTCAAGGCCCATGACCTTGATCTTTGACCTAGTGACCCCAAAATCAATAGGGGTCATCTGCTAGTAATCACCAATGAATATGTGAAATATGAAGACTTTGCAATAAATTGTAACCAAGATAATGAGAGGAAACCATTCTGACATTTGAGGCCCCTGTGACCTTGACCTTTGACCCCAAAATAAACACCAGTCATCTACTAGTTATGACCAATCAATATGTGAAATGTGAAGACTTTGTGATGAAAACTTTGCAAGATAATCAGCAGAAACCATTTTAACATTTAAGGCCCCTGTGACCTTAAACTTTGATCTAGTGACCCCAAAATCAATAGGGGTCATCTATTAGTAATGACCAATTATTATATGAAATATGAAGACTTTGCAATGAATTGTAACCAAGATAATGAGCGGAAACCATTCTGACATTTCAGGCCCCTGCGACCTTGACCTTTGACGTAATGACCCCATTATCAATAGGGGTCATCTACTAGTTATGACCAATCAATATCTGAAATATGAAGACTTTGTGATTAATACTTTGCAAGATAATCAGCTGAAACCATTTTGACAATTAAGGTCCATATGACCTTGACCTTTGACCTTGTGACCCTAAAATCAATAGGGGTCATCTACTAGTTTATACCAATTAATATGTGAAATATGAAGACTTTGCAATGAATTGTAACCATGATAATGAGCGGAAAACATTCAGACATTTGAGGCCCCTGAGACCTTGACCTTTGACCTAATGACCCCAAAATCAATAGGGGTCATCTACTAGTTATGACCAATCAATATGTGAAATATGAAGAATTTGTGATGAATACTTTACAAGATAATCAACAGAAACCATTCTGACAATTAAGGCCCCTGTAACCTTGACCTTTGACCTAGTGACCTTAATATCAATAGGGGTCATCTACTACTTATGTCCAATCACTATGTGAAATATGAAGACTTTGTGACAAATAGTTTTCAAGATAATCAGCCGAAACCATGTGGTCAGACCGACGGACAGACCGACGGACCGACATTAGCAAAACAATATACCCCCTTTTCTTCGAAGGGGGGCATAAAAATTAAAGACACATACATGTACAATATCAACTTAAATGGTCTGTAAGACAGGGATATTTTTATTCTTTAATTTAAAGGTTCACCATGTTTAACAAGTGGATGATGAATCATAAATTGCAAAAAAATCATACCATCTGATACAAGTCCATTATAAGTTAAATACAATGTATAGTGGTCCTTACATTATAGCACAGTTACAAGAAATACTTACACTAGGTCCCTAATCTGTGATAGCATACTAGCTTTAAGCGTAAACTTGGTTATGTGGGATGATCCAGAATAACCCAGAACTTGTTTATAATTCTAATAAATTTCATGTTTTTTTTTGTTTGTTTTGGGTTTTACGTCACACCGACACAATATACATAGGTCAAATAAATTTCATGTAGTCGTCATTAAATTATACATGTGCAAAACTTGATGTTTCTTCTATTTAATTGCAAAATATCATTTATTTAAAGGCATCCAGTGCAGTCTCAGACGGCCTGAAATAACCATAGAAACACAACAGCGTCACACCTTAAAGAACTCCACATTAATTGAAATTTAATAACACATCAAAGTGGCTGACAGAAAAATATTTCTTGCCCAAGCTTTGCTAGAGCTTGTTGTAAAACCTGAAGAAAAAAATGTCATTCCAAAATTTGATGTCATTTGAATATTTGATTCTTCTGTAATCCTGTTTCACATTTTGTTGTTGCAACATTAATTCATTCAAAATAACGTCATTAAGGTGACACTTTCTATTTGGATAGTCTACTTCAGAACAAAAGAAACTCGACACAAGTATTTTGGTTGTCAAACAAAGTTTTTCAAGTGTTTTAAATGTATTCTGATTAGAAAGTAACTGTTGGACTAATTTTAAAGATAATACATGTCTTTGGCAGGATTGAAGAATGCGCATGAGGTTAATGTACTCTGTCACTGTGGCCATGTGTAGTCATGTGTGGCTGTGCAGAAAATTTCATATGATTTTTTAAATTGGATGAGTTGCATACAAATGTACCTAAGATTTGTTTTTAAGTGTTTATTTTTTATACCTAAGATTTGTTTTTAAGTGTTTATTTTTTATACCTAAGATTTGTTTTTAAGTGTTTATATTTTATACAAGGGGGAGAATCATGCCGTTCGTTACCCAAACAGACAAGATGGCGGATGCAGCCAAAAAGTAGGTTTTTCCCTTATTTCTCTGAAATTCGTGATGTTCTAATGTAAAGGTACATATAACAACCTTCTCAACAATTTTCCTGGCACACAGGATTTTATTTCATGATGTTTCGTCCCGTACTTCATCTGAAATGCGCGTCACCAGATTCGAAGTGAGAGAATTTTCCACCGGTTTGATCGTGGTAACGTACGGCTTTTTCTCTCAAATTCACTGTTTTTTTTACTTATATGTATATTAACTGAAACCACTGACTTTAAAAAGTTGTAATATGTTGTCAAGTAAGCAATTATGCCCATTCTGGCTAGATTTACTGCTGTAAATATTAATATCGAGGCATTTTCCGGAAATGATAACGTATGGCGCACAAAATATCAGTGATAACGTACGGCGCATTTCACTACTTGGTGGATTTCCATTTGTCCAATCAGCTGATAATGAATTATTTTTATGTAGGAAATGATAGATATCTGAAAAAAATGTTGTTCAGGTCAGAAATAATTAATTGAACAATGCTGTATTATCGGATATAAATATCTTTCTAGCTGGTGGCATAATAGTTATCCGTTGTTAATATACCAATTAAAACACACGTGTATAGTTTGAGAATATTTTGTATAAAATGCAAAATGGAAATAAAAGCCTCCACTTTCAGGAAACATTTGTGTAGTGTTGTATTCACATTAAATTTCGCCAGTGTTGTGCGATAATTATGGTCTTATCCCCTTATCAGAAAGAAGAAACGCATTCAGCTAAGCAAAAATGTTAAAAAAGGTACGGACGGCTTGATATATTTTCTTTTCCAAAGAAAAAGTCTAAAATAATTCCTAACAAATTTCTGATAAGGAAATCTTAATATTTGAACCCGTCAAACATTTACAAAACGAAAATTGATTGCGACTAGCTTACACCCAGATGAGATGAGCCTGTGTTTATTCAATCTGGTCGCTCATTGAAAGAAAAATACATAACAGAGATTATTATATGATCTAAATATATCTGCAATCTCATTGGTCCAAACAGTAGTCAACAGAACTTTTTATAAAATCATATTTACTGGGTGTAGTATCATATTCACTGGCTGAATTGGATTTTCCCAGTCTAAAAATAGATTGAGACTCATATTCAATGATCATACACCGTAGACTGTTAAATACGCGTGTTACTTAAAAAATAATTGTTGCTTTTTGTTCTTTATGGCATATTTCTCAATTAAAATATCAATACATTACCATTTTACTTAAAGGCTACACCGCAATGTTGAGTATAAACTTGAATTACTTTTGTATGTGCAGCGTTCGCGAAGTCGTTGCACGCCTAACACGTGCGTCTTTTTTCCCGCGCTTCAACGAGGCAAAATTTGTACATGTATATAAGGTTGTACTTTTTGTGATTTTTTTACTTCTTAGGCTATTCATATAAAAAAACAATTATTGACTAGTGAGCCATTGAATATGATGTGATATTCACCGGCAGAAAGTCATATTGACCTCGGCTATCGCCTCGGTCAATATGTCATCTGCCGGTGAATATC